ACACACACAAATTCACTGAGAGCCTTAACCTCTGCAAGGCGTAGTAGTGCCGGAGGCGGGGAATCTTGCTTTGTGACTGGTCACTCTTCCTTTGCATCTGGCGAAGTGCTCCTACGACGCCAAGCGTCTCAAACGGCCTCTGTTGAGGAAATCTTTCTCATTGTCTCCCTGTGGTAGATTTATTTTCCTGAGAAAGTGAGGCGACAAAATCTAATATCTGAGATCCATAACCGGATCTGTGTGCCATTGGTAGCTAAGCTAAGTGGATNCAGACGAGCTAAGCTACGAACCACACACACACACACACAGACGTTGATTGCAGTAGTGACCACTGTCTTTATTTGGTAGTGGTATTAACGTTGTATGCATTGCAGCGATCAGTGAAGTTCGCCTCATTGTATTTCGCCGTACGATAATGATGGTGATCGAATTGAGGTGTTCTAGATATCTTGGACATTTAGACCTATCCAAAGGATGTATGATCCTAAGAACCGGCCCCCGATGGATTTAAGCTACACACACAAACACCCATTGTCTTGCAGATCAAACTTCGGCTAGACTCCGGTCGTGCATCCCCCAAGAGAAATCACAATTTTTGGCCTGGAAAACCTGATAGCATCATACCCACGAGCATGTTATAATGAGTGTTGTACCGCCATTCGTTTATCAACGCCGGGACTCAGACAAGAATTAAATATTACAGTGATACTTTTGATATCTATGGGGATAATTAATTTTGTCCAGTGGGCTATCCATCAACCATTTGTTCCACCTTGAACAAGGGTGGTATCTTCGAACCGTCTCTACAAAGGTGTGTTCTTTGTTTATCACTTACATACGTGTAACACAATATGACGGTCCAAATCGAATCCCACCTACCCTCAGTGTTGTCCTTCACCGGGGCACACCGAGAACGTGATACCATTATCGNATCAGGATTCGGCTGCTCGAAAGTGACGCTTAGAACGATCGCATCAATCTGTCCCAGGAGGACCACACCGCATTCTAAGTGATCATTCACTCACAGCTTCATCATGATGAATAAGTGAATTAGAACGAATGATCTAATCAGAGCATCACACAAGACAAGTTCTGACTGGTATAGTGTAGAATGACGTTCAGATGTTTTGTCGTAGTTTGGTTGACAAATNTGACCTCTTGAATCAGTTGTGTCTCGTGCAATTGATCGATTGAAGGGCCTATAACTGGTAAATAAACCAAGTTGCTACCTATTCTGTTTATAGCCTAATTTCAAGTGAACAATCGTTTTGAACAACTCATGATCACATCGTTACATTTGATGTGAGCGGATAAAATTGAGGGGTTGGAGATAACATGAAAATGTGAGGAACCTGTTTCATCCTTTTGCCATGCAATATGTGTTTGGAAAAACACAATTTGGCCGGTCCATTTTTTTGCTACCTGTTCTTGTATGGTGAACGGCAAACGGGATAAACCCAAAAGTCACGGAGATCCAGTGCAGACATATACACACACACAGACATTGTACCGGGTACTCTAAACCCCGGAACTTTAAGCCGGGAACTGTGTAATTCTTTATTGAGATATAGGAGGGGATTACATAGTTTTGACGACAACAAATACGCTTAAGGCGAAAAGATTTGCAGATAAGTCTTATGCACTTCAATGACAGTGGTTTACACTTTACGTCTATTGTCTGTGCTCGATATCGTAGCACATAGTCCCAATAAACTTGTATAAGTGAACTGAAAGCGCATCCTAGAGGTGTGCAGCTGCTCGATGCGGAATTCGGTTCATCATTATTATCATGTGCCAAAATATTTTGAACCCTAGAACAGTTAATGAACAATTACGTGTCGTCCAAACGAACTAAACTGGTGAACCCTAATGTTTTATCATTAGTCATTGCTTACCACAGTTATCTCAGTTACGGGTACATCTATGTCAACTGTCGAAATGGATTACGATATAGACCAGTCGTGTGATAGAGCTTGATCCTGTGGACATACTGATTCAGACAGAGTCAATGGGTGCCATAGTTCTGAGTTGTATAACATATCGCGAAACCCTAGTAACTAGTAAAATTCGTCTTTCACTTCCTCTCAAATGAAATTATCCTCGATTCATGTGTTCGTTTCATGACTAGGAGTCCTATCCACTGTCCGAAACGTATCGGGATTTGCTCAGTCTGGCCGACCGGTTTCTTCGACCTCGTGGTCGACTGGTATTCTGGATGCCGGTCAAACGACAGCCTGATTTCGGGTTAGATCAACTTCCCACACATCCCCGGTTGAGGTTGCTTGCGGCCTGCGAACAGGTGAGTTCTGTTTTCAAATCCATCTACCTGGTCGTGCTCATTCATCTTTGATCTATGCTGAAATGGGTCATAATTTTCTGACTCATAATATGCCCATCGTAATGCTAATGCATGTTACACCAGAATGACTAAAAACACTAAGAATGTCATAGAGCATAATCGACAGGAACTCGTATTCAACACGGATTTTCCGACATATTTCACCCGAAGTGCCTCGGAGTAAATTTAAAACACATCAGTTAGTGTGAAACATGTTCTTTTCAATCCGATCTTCAATTAGCAAATCGCATGACTCTCGAACCGGATTTACGGTTCGTAGACACCACCGTTTCATGTTGACCTTTCCAGTTTCGATAAAACGTTGTTGGAACTTGCCAATAATGTTTGACGGTCAGAGTGGGATAGGGGTCGTTTCACCGAAGATACTGCTGAATATTCACCCATCGATGTGCATAAAGGGATGAGTTGACTGAACTTAATTATTCCAGACACTGTTGTGATCTGACGGTTCTCGGGTTTCCAACATCTCAGTCAAATGATAGCTTAATCAACGGGCATCGTGCAACACGCTTCACTTCGATGCTCGTGGTTCTGAGAGATATTTGTGTGCCAGTGCCAGTGACTTTGATTATCTGTCATTCGGTCTATATTGTGTCACGGATCCGAGGTTTGCGTCTCGTACGTATCAGATAAATATCAGGTCTAGCACGCATCCAGTGGTCCGCGGTGCAAGTTTTTCGGATTAATCGAGGATGAGTTAATCATGCCACTGTGCTCATATTGCAATCCGTATGTTTTTGTACACAAAAAAAAACATTTTGATAAACTTTGATTCAACCAACAAGAGAGGCTTTGATATCCCGTTGAAATCTCATTACAGTAGGTCCGTTTTTCACTCGAATCCTTCACGCCATCTATCAAAATGAATGGTAAATTATCGGATCTTAAGTGATAAACTGTATTGGATTAATAATTTAACATTTTGATACTTATTGGAGTACTCACCGCGGCATGGTAAACATCTGCTGTTCAGTTATCAGAACGAGTGAACTGAGCTCTCAAAATTGAATTGATGATTGGGTGGTGGTGGCGCGGTGGATTTGTCGCGTGCTTCGGACCCTGTGGTCCGCGGTTTGAGCCCCGTCACCGCCACCCAACTTTGATGGTAGGCAGATTTGCTACCACCACCATGGCTCACCTAGCGGGGTCTAATTCCTGGGGATTAGGTTATCGGTTACCATCATTGAACAGCGGGTCTTCGTGACTATGACGTCCGCCCCGACTGCTGTACATCACATACTTGTGTGTAATTTAAAACAATACGGTCCTGATAGGATAGGCGTGGTGGTATTGGGCCGGACAGAGCTGCATAAATGTGAAATCGTGTGTACAGAGCTGAAAACCTTGGGCTCGAAACGGTAATTGGAACCGTCTCTTCACTGCCACTGCATAGTGTATGTTAAAGGGAATAAGTTCACTCCTAACTCACAATGTCCAGCTGTTTCCTATAAAATAATAATCAGTTGACGACCAACGTTTTTTTTCATTGTCCTTGCATGTTATTTACTTTTTTATATAACATGTACTCGTTATTTTCTCTCCATCCTCAATTTCTCACTGTTGTGCATAACCGTACACAGATTTTGAACGGTCGAAATTCTCGATATATGTTGGCCATGGAAAAACTACTCCCGACAGACCCGGACGNGCTTTTTCGTGATCAGTTGCATCGCTTATCTTGATCCCGTCAAGTTCGGATGTTCTCAATGCTAATGCATCGGCTATCAATCCCATCTCCGGAGCGCCTTGTTTTTCTCCCCTTGGACTGATGCTCGCTATCCGGTTTTATGTACATATCAACAGATATCATCATTTGAATCTGCAATTTGGTCTTTATTTTTGAATGTTTTTATGTCCCTAATCCATAAACAAAACATGGCTCTTTTCCACACTTGTCGGACAATTATGTACGGGGTCTAATCTGGGGGATCGGATCGGGTACTATTGTGTTCGGCCTAGACGACGTACAATTGACACGAGCATCTCCTGCTTGCGCTTCAACAGTACCGCGAAGGGAAAACACCACCCGAGGCAACAGTCAAAATGTATTCGATGATTGAGGTGCGTTAAGCAAATATGTACGGTTAATCAGAAATAAGAGGCTGACATAGTGAGGCATCAATCACATTGCATCCTTTGCACTCCGATCGAACAACGGCTGACTGATTCGGTCTGCAGTCTTCCAATCCGGACTCGGCTTGCCTTGCGCGAT